GTGATCGTGGCAATCATTCAGACATATGCCGTCTCAGACCCGAGCATCCTCTCCAAGGACCGAGACATTCGAATCTTTAGCTCTATCTTCTTCGTCATCTGGGCATTCCTCCCGATACCTGTCGTCGGTCTCGCTTTCCTCCTACGACAGACACCCATCGCAACCTTTGACGTCGATGAGAAGGCAATCAATGCTCCGACCATCTCCACAGAGAACGGACGCGAAGAGAACTCTTGCGCGACAAGTAGCGAAGGGACCGTCGTTGAAAGGGATCTCATCAAGAAGTCGAACGAGAAGATTGGTATCCCCCAAGTCGTTGATAGTAGTCGCTACATCCCACTTACGGGCTATGGTACCACACCTCTCACTCGTTGGGAGCTTTGGGAGAATGCCGTGGTTGTTATCATACTGGCAATACTCCTCACGATAGAACAAGGTGTCCGAGTTGCACAAGTGTACTACCTTCCAAAACGCGGTGTGCCCCTTCCTTGGGTAAGTCAAAGATACAGGTTGTTCGATTTTTACTGATGACTGTTTTGTAGTACATGTCCAAGGCGTCATTCTGGGTGTTTATTTTCGGCCTGGAGATTATCACGATCGTGTTCCTCGGCTTTGCAACGCTTCCGAAACGCTTTACCCACCTCAAGGCTCTTTAAGGAGGCAGCCCGAATCCCACAATTATCTAACTTAGACTCGACATGGATAAGCGTTCATCATGCACGGCGTGCATGGAGAACTTGTTGGTAGCGAAAAGTGGATAGAATAGCGGGTCGGCATAACTGATATTTCAGTGGGGTTACTGGCAGTTTTTCTGGGTGAGAATATTAGGTATCTAGGCGGTATTTCTCCTAAAATGTTCGACAAATGAATGGAGGGTAAGGAAAACAGTGCCACTATCTACCCTCAGAAGCTAGCGGTATTTCCGGTCGAAAACCATTTATGCCTACCCACTATTTGACCGTGTTTTGGGTAACGACAAGTCATCAATGCACGTCGTGATGCTTTCGACGATCGAACCCACTTTACTTATCGATAATTCACCCTAATTTGCAAGACTCCGAGGTACACCCCTA